AAAATAAATAGTAACGGGGATAGTGGACATCCTTGTCGGGTTCCCTTCTGAATAGCGATATTTTGTGTTTGGTCTCCATTTACAATTATTTTTGCCCGTTGTTCCTTATATATAGCTGTAATCATTGTCATAATTTTTTCCCCACATTCCCATATTTCCAATTTATATTTCAGAAAGTCCCAGTTGACATTGTCAAAGGCTTGTGAGCTTATAGCAGCCTTGAACCAGGTCTGCCCAAATCTATACATCAGTCTATGGCCAATCCTGCCTTTGCTTTTAGCTGTGGGCTGCCAGGTACCTCTCGGTCTTCCCAAGTGAGGTGAGAAAGGGTGGAGAAGCACGCTGATTACCCACTTAACTGCCCTCTTCAGATGCAAAGGAGTTCCTTTGTATGCAGAAGGTCCCATCTTCAGGGTCTGGCATCTCTAACTGAAAGATCTTCCGATAGTGGTGCTGTTTGGGAAAGGCCTCTGTCTGGGATCCTGTAGACCAGGGGTGGCCAAACATGCTTAATGTAAGAGCCTCATAGAATAAACATCAGATGTCCAAGAACCGCAAGACATGAACAAATATTGTGCACACGCTTTTATTGAAAAATATGCAAATCTGCTTTTTATTAATGTTAAATGAGACTGCCAAAAATAAAAACAAAAGGGGTAAGAACAGATATTGGTAATGATGTTTATTAGTCTAATAATATTTATTTGTTTGCTAATTATATTTATTTGTCTAAGAGAGAGAAAAGGAAAGAAAGAATGAAAGAGGTAGAAAGAAATAGAGAAAAACAAAGAAAGCAAATAGATGGGGGAGGGAGGGGGGAGGAAGGGAAGGAAGGAAGGAAGGAAGGAAGGAAGGAAGGAAGGAAGGAAGGAAGGAAGGAAGGAAGGAAGGAAGGAAGGGGAAGAGAGAGAGAGAGAGAGAGAGAGAAAACAAAGCAAGGAGATGGGGAGGGAGGGAGGAAGGAAGGAGAAAAGAAAGAGGAAAGAAAGCAAATAGATGGGGGGAGGGAGTGGTGGAAAGAAAGCAACTTTAACTTTAAATGCCTCCTCCAAGCCCCCCCCCCCGCTCCCATGCAGCTGGCTTGGTTTGGAGAAGGCATTTAAAGAGACAAATGCCTTCCCCAACCCTGCTGGTGGGAGGGCGGGCTTTGAGAATGCATTTTAAGTTAAAGTTGCTGTCTCCCCCATCCACCTCAAGCCTACCCAAGGAGGGGAACCCTGGCTGGGGAATGGAATGGATACAGTCTAGAATTGCCATCCTCCAGGTGGGACCATGAACTCTCCCAGAATTACACCTGATCTCTGGACCACAGAGACCTGGTCCCCTGGAGAAAATGTCTGCTGTATCTGAAGACATGAGTAGCGACCCTACCACAAACTTTGTTAGAAGAGAAGAAGAGAAAAGAGAGATGGGATTTCTACCCTGCCCTTCACTTGGAGTCTCAGAGCAGCTTCCAAACTCCTTTCCCTTCACCTCCCCACAACAGACACCCTGTGAGGTGGGTGGGGCTGAGAGAACTCTGACAGAAACTGCTCTTTTTCAAGGACAGCTGTGCCAGAGCTTGTGACTGACCCAAGGTCACATCAGCAGGTGCAAGTGGAGGAGTGGGGAATCAAACCCAGTTCTCCCAGATTAGAGTCAGCACACTTAACCACTAGACCAAACTGGCTCTCTGTTAGTCTTTAAGGTGCTCCTGGACTCTTGCTCCTTTTCTGCTTCTCCGAAGGGGAGAGTCGATGCCATCGCGCCCTGCTGAAGTCAGTTCCTTCCGCAAACCCC